TGCTGAATGTATTGTAACTTTTCCTGTTGTTGCCAGAGTCCCCACCACAAAACGAGAGAAATACTCCCAGCCCCATTGATCCCGACTGCGTAGAAGTTGAGGTGAATTTTAACCCTGACCCTGCCGATTTAGTGCTGTCCAGTGTGCCTGGCGGTGAGCTCTTCAACCCTCGCAAGCACAAGTTCACTGAAGAGGACCTGAAACCACAACCAATGATTAAAAAAGCCAAGAAGGTTTTTGTCCCAGATGAACAAAAGGTAACAGATTTATTGCTGCAAACTTTTCTAGGCCTTGATCAAAGTTTCTGACTTGTCGTCCAAGCGTTTTGCCTTAGAAAGCTGATGTGCTGTACCTATGCGGTTGGGCAGAAGCACTGCCAAGAATAACATCGGCAAGTCAACTGCTGCTCTTGCTGGTTTGGTGTCATGAGGTAATTACTGGGCAGGAGCAACTTCTCATGCTGTAGACAGGAATTAGAACTATCAAGCCACGTCTTCATCTGCGCTTTGGAAAGCTGTTGGATATGTTTGCCCAGCACAATGTCTGATCTGGCTTTAAGCAGCCCAGACAACAGGGCAGATTTGTTTTCAGTGGAAGGTCATTCCGCAGTTGGAATGAAGTAAAGGGTGCTTTTCAGTTGGACAGCTTCTCGGTAGCCAGGTCTCTTGATCTCTAGTTCTAGCAGTGCACTCGGTTTATCCTGAAAGACAACTCTGTAAGGATGAAATCTTACAGAACTGCCTTGCCTGTGTTTTGGTACCTGAGCCCCGCAAACAGTGAGGGAGATTCTTCAACACAGCAGTTAGCGTGAATGTCAGCATACAGCAGAGGTGTCTGTTTGTACAGCTGTCAGGTGGGCATCTAGGTGTTTTCTTTTTTTTGCTACAGGATGAAAAATACTGGACAAGGCGGAAGAAGAACAACGTGGCAGCAAAGCGTTCCCGTGATGCTCGGCGGTTAAAGGAGAATCAGATCACGATTCGTGCAGCCTTTCTTGAGAAAGAGAATACGGCCCTGAGGACGGAGGTTGCAGAGCTGCGCAAGGAAGTGGGACGATGCAAGAACATTGTTTCTAAATACGAGACCAGATACGGACCCTTGTAAGCACACCCCTTTTCCTTGTTAGGGCTCCTTGTTTTAGCCTCTTAGACTTCTCTGCTTCTGTAGAGACTCCCAGAGATAAAGGTGTGGAGGCTTTGCCGTTTTGCATCTACACAAAAAAAACCCAAACCCCAAATCATGTTTCTGTTGGCACAACTTGTTCAGGCCCTTTCCTGATCATTGTGTTGCCCAAAAATCTTAGTGTCCCTATTTACAGCGTTTTGGTTTTAGCACCGATAGACCGTTTTCTGATGTCAGACAATAGAACAGACTCACCTGTCTGGAGGAGTAGATGTGGATCCCTCCTGACTCGACAGGGCCTTTGCTGTCTGTTCTAATCTCCATTTTAAGTGGAGAAAGAGCCTAGGAGACTCTCCTTGTCCTTTTTTTTTTTTTTTCTTTCCCCCTTTTTAAACTCCCGCTCTTTTCTCCCTCTCCATGACCCCCCCCCTCAGTCAAACTGTAAACCACAGTTTTAAGATGTAAGTAGATGCTGCTGGGCAGCATCAAGAGATCATCTCCTCTCCCATTCAGAGGCACTAGAAGGTACCTATTGTCTAGAACTCTGTTCCTGTTGAGGAATAGGGGAAACTTTAGGACAGGAAGACAGGAAAATACTCAATCTCTTGTAAAGACTGAGATATCTTGAGGTTAGTGCACCAGTGTTATGCAGACCAGAGTGCAGTGTTGCTAAAAATACTGCTGAAACATCTTGGTAGGTTCTAATCCTGGATAACTTCTAGAAACCAAGGAGAGAGAACAGTAGGGCCTCTCTCGCTTGGCAGATATGGACAAATAATTTGCTGTGGGTTTTAGGCTGTATTTCTTTCACCACCCCTCCTCTCTTCTTTAGAGGGACTTCCCTCTTGAACTGCTGATAAAGCAGCATGCTAGACTTAACTGAGAAGTAAGGGAGGTTTAGACAAAGAGGTCTGGCTCGTTAAGCTGAACCTTGAGGCCCGTCTGTTAAGGAATTGCCAGTACCTTGTGCTTTGGAAGAAGGTTTTGCCTTTTTTTTTCCTTAGAGACAGACAAATAAGCCACTCTTACTTTACTGCACCTTACCTATTGTCTAGGAGGGAGAGTTTTGGTCCTTTGTCTCGTGAACACTCTTACAGAACACGCTACACCCACTCTAAACGTGAAGAGTTTACCTCACTATCTCCTGTGTAGCAGCATATCTGGTCTCTCCATGCCTGCTGGTTCTCTCTCCAGCATGTTTCCTGTTATAAAATTAGCACACAAGACTTGCCCTCTTGGAAGTAATCCATTCTCAGCACCGAGCGCTGCTTCAACAGTAGGTGGTGTTAAAAGAAAAATATGTTTTGTGTGATGTTGGGACCTTCTGCATGACCTACAGCTGCAAGAACCAGAAGCTTTCACAGAAGTGTATGTCTAGAAGTCCTCTTTATAAGAGAAGCTATCTTATGAGATAGCGGCTGTGTCAGAACTCTTAGGCTACGATTCCTGGGCTAATATTTTATGTTAGGGAGTAAATGTGGGATAGATGATGTTTAGGCTAGTTGCCAGCTCCCCTACTGAAATCTGAAAAGTATATAAAAAGGCATTGGGGTTTCTTTTCTATACGAAAGACTTCTTGCCTAGCGTGTCTTTTAAAAAGACGTGGAAATGGGTATGAGTGTAGACCAATTGTGCGTTGAGTTCATGTGGAAGTGGAGAAGCAGGCTAATCCAGAACGCTTGAAGTAAATGTATGCTTGGAACTATATCCCCCTCGGTTACGCTCTTAATTTGACTAGAGTGGCTCTTCATGCAGCGTTGGTCTAATTTCTTTGAAAAGTACTAAAAATTGTCACCCTTGCGGCAGGGGTTTTTCTTTCACAGGGTGGTATGTGGTGGTGATGGTGGGAAGTATGTTATAAATAAATTGTCACACTTAACACTCTGCTTTGTTTAAAGTGACTTATCTGATTCCGAGTGATGCAACTTTAAAGACTTGTAAAAACAAAGAAACTAAAAAGCACACATGAATCGCCAGTCTTCAGAGTGAGCAGTGAAATCTGTGAGGTGTCCCAACACAAACAACTGATGATGACCCTGCCTGCCTGCTTGCCTGCAAGTACCCCATCTGAACTACCCGGAGCTGGGCACAACGAAAAGTGCCAAGTCTCCTTAATTCTGTATATGGCTTTCTTGTCTTTCTCACTGTAACTATGAACTACTACAATAAGCTTACTTCTTGGGGTTTTGTCAAGACACTCAAAGTTCGTGTCTCAAAGTCTGTTGACAGCCTGTGTGAATAGTGACTCTCTGTTTTGGCACTCAAGTGGAAGAAAATAGGGAGTTTTAAATGAAAGTGTATATATTGAGAACTGCTATATTTTAAGACTCTTTTCTCCCCCCCGCCCTTCCCGCAGTAGAATGAATTTTGTTTAATACTGCAGCTCACTTCTGGTACAGCGTAGCATCTTGTGGAGTACCGTGGGCGCGGAGTTAAAGACACCAGGAAAACAGCAGTCTGTGACGTAGGAGACTTCCCGTGCAGAGAAGTACAGCAGGCGCATTGAAACAATCCCAAAGGCACGGCGGTGTGCCACGCGGAGCAGTAACAAGCCGCTCTCGGAACACCCTGCTTCTCTTGTTTTCCCGCTCCGCGGCTGTAACCCGCCTTTTCCGTTGTTTCTCTTCTGAGGCTCGCTTTCTTTTATGGCACCTTGCCGAAACAAGGTCTATTACTCCGTTAACAGTTGAGCAATCATGGGAAAAGTGCTAGTCTGAGCTGGGCATCCCCACGTCTTTTGGCAGTCTGACACTACCAAGTGAGTATTCGCTCCTGCAAAGGAGTGGCTACTAGCTGCTGGATCACAGTTTCTGCCTCTTGACTACGTGAGAACCGCGGTGGCGAAAGAGTGCTTTGCTCATCCGTTTTATAAAACGGAAACCGCCGGTCGCTTCCCACCGTTGGAATGGGCAGCTGGAGTGTCGAGACCCTTATGCTGGTGTGGGAGAGTAGCTGAAAGCCTGGACAGATTGCGGGGATGCTTACTGTGCATGGAAGATGGAGGAAGTAGGTGGAAGTTCCTTTGTAAGAGTTTCATCAGCATAACAAGAATCCACTCTTACACTGAGGAAGCTTAAGAGCTACATTTGTGTGGGAAGAAAGACAGTACTGAATTTCTGGGGAAGTAGTGCAGGTCCTTGCTTGTAGCATGAATGGAGCTCGCAAGACAGCGGTGTGTTCGTGCCTGGAGCTTGATCAACGGCATGCACCTCGAGAAAAATAATCTTGAAAGCTTTCAGAAGCACAGGTGCCAAAATTGAGGCACAGCTAGATACCAGCAAAACTTGACACTATCCCATTGAACGCCTATTTTGACTTTGCATTTACCTAAGAGACCCAACTCCTAATTTCAGAGCAGAAGGGCAAAGAGAAGGAGATGCAGAGAAGCAGCTGATGTTGTAAACTTCATTTTAAAAATAAAAGAATAATGATCTCAAACCCCAAAATTCCCAATCAGTTTTTTAAAGGTGTAACCTTTGTAAGGACCATACACTTTAATGCAGTTATTGACCTGTTAGTTGTAATGGACTGCGTTCTGAAGTCAAGAAAGTACTTTTCACTTTTTTTACTGGTTATAAAAGTATACTTATGAGTGTATTATAATAATTTGGGATTCTAAAGCTCTGATATAATTTTGGGGTGTTCAAACAGATGAACAGTTTATCTCCATGTTGCAGAAATGCCAGCATATATCTCTATCTGTATCAAGCATTGCTGATCTGGACTGTTATTTTTGGTATGTACTGGGTTTTGTTCTGTTTTGGTGATAAAGGCCAATTGTTTGGATTTAAACAATCAAAAAACCAAAACCCAAACAAAACAAACAACCCTGACAGCATGTAAATGTAGCAACTCTTTTTTTTTTTCTCCTCACTTCTAAGTTTTCAGTTAGCTTTGAATGGCTGGTTTTGAAAGTCACGTTTTCTGTTTAAATCACAAAGCTGAAGAGTATGGTAGCTGGGCGAGGAGCTGCTAGTCCTTCATTTGGGTCTTGATGTCTTACTGCTTTCGGGATCTTTTAAATTCTTACACCCTGTGTGCAGGATTTGGTTTTGCAGCTTGTTGTGCTATTTTAACAGCAGAATACTTAGTGAGAACAGCACGGGCAATTCTGTTAGCGTGATCTGTCGTATTAACAGCTTACATAGGGGGAGCCAGCAGCGAGCGTTCGTTAGAGCTTTCGTGCCGAGAAGACTGTTAGCAAACTCTTGTGCTTCCCTGTAGGACTCTGCAGGTGTGCACCTTCTGTGCTTCGTGCATCCGCGGGTTGCCAAACTGGAAGGTCGCACGTCGGGGTGAGTGCGGCTTAACTTTTGCCGTTGGAGGATTGAATGTTTTTGTTAAGAAGCAACATCTTCAGAGATAGTTGAGATGATAGTACCTATTTAAAAGAGTATAGGCATTGCCTGCACTAAATTATGTGCAATGCTGAATTCCTGTCTCAGATTTCCTTAACTCAGGAAGTTAAGCTTACTGCTTCAGAGCTCTCTCCGCCTCTCGGAATGATTAGCTGTATACCTTTGTTTCTTTGACTAGGATGACAATCCTATCCCTAGGTGGTGATAACTTGGGCATGCTTTCATTGTGGTCGTAAGACCAATATTCTTCTAGCTCAGCTTGAACATTAAAAGATGCTGAATTGCCACTGTTTGGCTCTGAAGTCCAATCTTGGAATGTGCTCTGTAGAGGCCGTAAGTGTGCCTGCTGCCAGAGTACCCCATTCCAGCCATAAAGGGACCATCTCCAAGGGGAAAGAATAAAGGGAGTGCACCTTTCAGCGTCTCTGCAGGGGATTGCCAGTAAAGGGAGCAGTTTTTGACACAGCTCTACATTCACTGGGATGTGGACTGATGCCGAATGGCCACTTCACAGTACTAATTTTGAACGTATATAAACTGCTGTTAGACTTACGGGCAGTGAGTTGTCTTACTCTACACCAGAAACAGGCTATGAGTAAATGAGGCGCAACATTTACTACAGTATTACTTTCATACAGGGTCTTCTAATCTGCACATAGTTGTATCTCCTTATAATAACACATTTCTTCTTGTTAAAAATTCCCTAGGAGCTGGATCGTTCACCTGTTGCCCAGATCTGCTCCCACTGAAGCCGGTAGCAAAGATCTCTAACTCCCACAGAAAACAAGAAGTCTTTACTCTCACGCGCTTGTTGTAAAGTTTCCGCAGGCTAAGGCAGTCGTGGGTGTCTTTGCTTTACTCCGGAGCGTTACGTGCTGGGGTCAGGTAGATGTATCTCAGTTTGCAGGTGTGATGTTGGTCAGCTGCTCCTGTCAGGTGGTCATTCACACAGGTAGTGATGGTTTTGATAATCTGAAATCTGGTTGTGGTTGGTTGGTTGTTTTGGTTTTTTTTCTCCCTGCATGGGGAGGGTGGAAAAAATACTGTCCTATAAGCTAGTGCTGGGAGAAGAATTTTTTTTTTTTAAAGTAAAATGCAGCTTTTTTTGCAGTTTTTCTAGTAACATTTTTATTTCTTTTCTGCCAATTCCCCATTTCCCTGCTGTGCTGTTCGAAAGCCCACGGTGTCCTAGCAGTAGAAATCACTTCCAGCGTTATCTGCAGGACTGCTACGTACTGTACCAAGCTCATTTCGAGCTGGGAGGTGCAGTGGAAGGCCAGCAGCTGTGGGAATACTGTAATAAAACCACTTGGTGGGAAAAGTACTTCCGCATGGACAGGAGAAATAATGGACTTGCACAGAAGAGTGCTGCTGCTGCAGCCTTGTAAGCCCTCAGCACAACGGGGCTTTGGTCCTTGTGGCTGGATGCCCTCCTGTTTTGTGGGAGTGGGGTAGCTCCAACCTTTGTAAAATCCAGCTGGACTTTTGTTCGCCCGTAGTGGTTTTAGGTGACGAGCACGGGGTGAGAAATGCGGATTTGCCTTAACGCGTGAATCTCGTATTTCTGGCAGCCTACATCTAACTCCATAAACAGCAAAATGGTTTGCTAATGGGAGTGTTTTGCCTTTGCAGCGCAAGAACGACGCTGACTGGCTTTCTAGGTTTTCAGATAATTGCTTTGAGCTGTGTATCTGCTGCTGTACCGTGACGAAGATCAATAAACTCGCAAGGAAAGGCCGGGAGAAAGGCAGAAAGAATAGGCCCAACTAAACTTCTGTGGAGATGCTAACTGGGAGATCCTGGTGATTTAATTGCTGATAACACAGGTGTGCCATACAGAATGTAACGTGTTAGTGTGAGAGCACGCTGTCGGCTAGCAAGCCGCTCCTGGATGCAACGGTTACAGGAGAAACTGAATCCTTGGAAGGAGCTGTCTGTATAGATAAACCTATAGATGCTTGGCAAGGGGAGTAAAGAATGAGAGCAGGAAGTGACCCAAGCCAGATTGCCAAAACTGAAGCCTTGCGGTTTACAGTTTTAGGACAATTTGGATCCCCTCAGTTTAGCATCATACAGAAGATCCGTACTTGTTTAGGTTTGGGGAAATCTCCTTTTCTTGATCTCATTCCCATGGTCGGGAAGAAAGTGAAAGGAATGTACAGCTAGGGAGGAGAAAGAAGGGCGTGAAAAAAAGAGGTGCCGCCTTAACGAAGCGTATGGTGGCACCGGGACTTGACCTGCCGGTGTGAGCTGAAAGTGCTCTGTCCTCAGGCAATTGCTGTCAGGCCCCAGCATTTTAAGGCCTCAGTTCTGCTGCCATTCCTGCATGGGGGGAGCCCCATCTCTGCAGAGGAGCGTGTGAACTTCATAGGACGGGTCCCTGAATGCCAAGCGCTGCCCGGGCAGTCAGCTGCAGGATGGTGTCCTTAACAGGTGACCAGTTGTAGTTATAGGGCTGTTCGTGTGACCCGTGAGGTGGGTGGCTGTCACACCCCCAGACCCCCTGTTGATTCGTTTCCCCCTCTGAGGCATGAGCAGAAGCCCTTGGCTGTACAACATCTGTTTAAACCCCCCCCCCCAAAATAAAGTACTGCACCTCCGTCTGGTGTGTTAAGGCATGTGGCTTTGGTCTGTGGGTCTCAACAAACTTGGCTCGTGTACCTGCCTGGATGTGTTTTTCGATCTGCAGCTGCGTCTGGGTGAGAGGGTCTGGTGGGATTTTGGTTTCCCTGGGGAGGGGCGGGAGGCTGCAGGAGCAGGTCTCATCTGTTGCGCTGCGGATGACCACTTGCTGCTGGCCGGGATCGTGGACGGATGCATCCTCTGCACTTTCATGTGAAGTTGTCTGAAATATGGTGATGAACCTGGTGATTGGAATACTGTATTTTGTATAACTTAGAGAATGTAAATACACTTTTAAAACTAATCTGTTCTATGAAGTAATAAATAAGTGCTTCCATTGTAATACCTGAGTATTGTTAATGCTTCACGTAGCTTGGTTTGGGATTATTTTTTTTTCCTGGAAAACTACAGAAATCAAAACAAAGATCGATGTTGTGGAACTCTAGTCTAGTTGTGATGCTTTCGTTCAAGAAAACAACCTGTTTTTAAAATAATGATGAGCTACTTCAGCAGAGAAACTGAGAATTTGAGGGGATGG